AAAGTCCCTATTTGTATTTTTCAAAGCCCTGCAGATGTGGCTCCTGCTCTCTCTGGCTTCCCTCCTGTAACTCAATCTTGGCTCATTCTGTTCCAGCCCCAAGGGCTTCCTTGCCATTCTTGGCACAAACCACCACACTCCTGCTCATGGACTATATGCTTAACTCTCCTGCTCTTCCCACCCAGATTTTCTCCTCAATTCACTCAGATGCTAATCTCATTCAAGAACCCTGCTCCGTCTGACTGCCCTAAAATAGCATCCCCAGAACCTCTACAGCCTTAACCTTGGTTGTGCTTCCCTGGTTACCACCTGATGTATATTTTTATCAGTCCGTGTGTATTGTTATTGGCCTTCTCCCTTTAGAAGAAGCGTGATGAACACAAGTGCATGCTTTGTCCCAAACTGTAGCCATCCCTGAGCGGGCAACAGTGCCAGCTCCTAGTAGGTGTTGGGTAAATATTTGAAAGCATTCTACCTCTTAAACTTTCATCAACTAACTGGAAGAAGCATCAAAAGACAGTCCTTTCTGCTCATGATCTCTCTGAATTTAGAAATCAGTGTAATTCACTGGATGGACTTTCTATTGGTCTAGGTTTAGGGATAGACACAGGGAAGAACATAGGCCCATTGCGAAGAGTCAGCAAATATTCCTTGAATATCCATATATATAAAAGCCTAAGCGACCGAATGACCAGTTGACTGGTCACTATGATGCACACTGACCACCAGGGGGAAGATGCTCAATGCAGGAGCAACCCGCTAGTGCACTCCCACAGCGAGAGCACTGCTCAGCCGACTGATCCGTGCCAGACACAGGGCTCACAGCTGGAACTGCCTGACTGGGCGCAAGCCTGCAGCAGGCTCAGCAGGGTCAGGATGAGCAAGAGCGGCAGGAAGGAGTGGTAGGTGGCTTTGGACTGCCGGTTTCAGTCAATCCCCTCAGGCCACACCAAGGGACCCCATCAGTGCATAAACCTGTGCACCGGGCCTCTAGTTAATTTATAATCAGCTTCTATTTTGATGTTACTTTTACTTTTTAAACTACCCTCTCCCCCCGCCTCCCCCCAAAAATAGGACTCTGTTTTATGAATTTGAGGTAATATTTATTTTGAAATAGGCTTGAATTCCTCCACTTTAAAATCCCCAGTCAAAAGTGGAAGTTTTGTTGCTGTGTTTTGTGTTAATGCAAGCAGTATGACAACATGAAAAGGGAAATCTAAAGAACACTCTCCCCATGAAGATGCTGCTTATTCTGAGTGAGAGTCAGAGGGAAGCATTGCATTAGGGGGGAGGGTGGGGAGTGGTTTAGGTTGTAACCTCTGGCATATGCACAGCCCTTAGTCAGTTAACCCCAGACTGCCCGATGCTCTCCTTTAGCTTGGTGCTTGCAGCTTTATTATTATTCAATAATCGATACTACAGCTCCGTGGCTAGTGGTCCCACGGGGCACTCACCTCGCATACTGGGTTCCCCACTGTGCAAGAAGGTGAAACCCCAACTCCCCTTCTCTGTTCAAATGCTGGGCCTCTGGTGATGCCAGTTTCCTCCGCTTTTCATAGTGATGGCAGAAAGCGGCATCTGAGGCTGCAAATGACATGGCAGCGGGTCCCAGGCCCAGGCCCCGGGCCCTGATCACGCTGCCATGTATTAATAGTCCCGTGAAAGCCGTGGCAGAGGTTCAGTCACAGAGGGGATAATATTTGCCTGCTCGGAATCCGTGGTGTGCGGCTGCTATATTGGGACCTAATCCTCCGGGGAAACACTATCTTTGCAGACCGACAGGTTTTCCAGAGTTGCCTCAGAGGATCGCCTGGGCCTGTGCTGAACATTCCTGCTTCCATAGTCAGAGCCGCTTTCTCTCCGGCCATCCCCCGGGGTAGGACCCTGGCCTGGGGGTCAGGCACCGCTTCTCCAGGCCACGGTTGCTGCCGCCAGGAGGTGAAGGCACTGGCTCTCCAGCCTGCCACTGTCATGCTCGGCCACTCTCCACTGGCACTGAGCGTGTGTTTCCTAGTCCTCCAACCCTTGGAAACAGAGAGAGAGATCGTCTTACAGAGCACGTCACTCCCCTTGGACACCAGAGCTCCATGCGACGTGCCATGCTCTCGTGGGGGGTCAAGGGCGGGGAGCCAAGGCAGGAACAACTGCTCCCTGAGAGGTCAGCGCTCAGAGAGGAAGAGCCAGAGGACTCAGACACCAGGAATTCTATTTACATTCACCACAGCGGAGGCCAGAACCATGCAGAAATATTAATAGCTTTGGGCTTCCGTCCCAAAATAGCAAAAAAAGAAAATCCACAAAAAAACCCCAAAACAAAACAAAACAAAACAAAAACACATTAAAAAATGGCAATTTGTTTGGAATAGAACTTTCAACTCTGTTCTGGAGAGTTGAAAGTTCTTTTCTGGACTTTCGAGATTTTTTTCTGGACCTCTTCATTTATTTACATTCTTTTAACAGTTAAAAGGAAAAAAAAGAAAACTATGGTGGATTTTTTTTTTCTTTTCTTTTCTTTCTTTCTTTTTTTTTTTTTAGTAGGGGAGGAAGCAAAAAAACTTTTCCTACTTATTTTGACCTGAAAAAAAAAAAAAAAAACGCTGGAAAGGCCATGAACTTTTCTCCGGAAGATTGCATATAGTTAGGAAAAACACCAAGTGTACACATATTTGTTCCATGAGTCACCTCTGCACAGGCCCCTGGCTTTTCCTTTAAGTAATGAAAGCAGTCAGCATTAACCCTCCTCAGGTTGCCAGCAGCTGTTGCACTTGACATTACTTCCGGTAGGCCTCTGGGATGGAGCACTCTCACCACGAGTCAGCCTCCGGCACCGAAGGGAAGGGAGAGTGCTCACGTGCTGCCTCCCTGTTGGTGAGATCAAGGTATTCTCTCTGGGACAGGAGCCTCCGAATAACCACCTCCCTCCAAGTGTCCCCATAGGTGACAGTGTTTTAGATTCAAAGTGTATTTCACATCGGCATTATTTCTCCCAAAGTGGGTGGTCAGATGAACTGCCGTAGCTTCCCAGTGTGGCCTGGGGTGGCTCTGCCTGGCTGGTAGCCCTGGGCTGGGTTGCCTCCGTAGGAAAGGTGTCACTGTCACATGCCTGGGCTGGAGAAGGGTTGGAGGGTCAACTGCTGTTGTGGTGGGCAGCTCCAGCCAGAAGCCTCTGTGATGGCAGGAGGAATAGCTCTCAGCCAGCAGTGCTCCTGGGACTCCGTGCCCAACTTCTCCCCACCTGGCCAGGCCTCTGCTGGGGGCTGTGTCTGTAGAGAGCCGTCTGTCATCACTGGGAATACAAGGCCACGGGAAAGCAGGCTTACCATCCTCCTTCCCGGAAGCCAAGTCTTGGTAGGTGAGAGGAATGGTGAGTGGCTTGGAGTGGAGTGTGGGTGGCATAGGGTGGGAGAAGATGCCTCCAGGGGCAGTGACCCCAGATATCCGTCCTGTCTCGGAGGAGAGTGGGGTTTTGTACTCAGGTTGAGAGGTGCAGGCGTGGGGGCAGGATCACAGAGAAGTAGAAGCTGATTCTGCACGAAGGAGTAATAAATATGGGACAAGCCAGGCGAAGGTTGGCTTGGGGTCACGCCTCAAAAATGCTTCGCTTGACGGATCTTTCATGTAACCTTGCCCCACGCACAGCCAGCCCAGTTGGGGAGGAGGTAGGAGGATGGAGAAATTCTGTGGAGTCTCATCTGGAATCTCTCCCTGTAACTTCCTTAGTTTTTCTTGGCTAAGCATGGGACAGCAGATGCTTTTTATTTTAGGTGTCTGTTCATTTTTGCACCATGTGCCACGTCGGACCAGGTTGGAGGGCAGTGTGAGACCAGTGTCCCCTGGCAGGTCCTCCATGCACTGGGATTCAGGCAGCGCACACAGCAAGTTCCCGGCACTGCAAGCAGCCAGCTCCCATCCTCCGCTCTCAGGGGCCCCACAGGTGCCGTGTTGGTGGTATCTGCATGTTCTGGCCTCGTGTCACCTTAGAGAACATCTTCCTAATTCCCTGGGAGGTTCCAGTGGGAAAGTCACAGAAGGCTGTCACAGGAAACACCCAAGGCTCAGGGCCTCACGCTGCCTGCTGAGAACACCCCGGGGTGTCATGGCTATTTTAAATTTTCGAGGAAAAGTGATACTCGGCATCCATCAGACACAGGGCAAGTTTCTCAAGGTAGTTTACGATTTCTACATTAAGTTTCCACATGAAGCTCCTGCTGCTTCCAAGAGACGATGGCATAGCTTACTGAAGCTGGGTTTTCCGTGGTCGCTGTGATAAATAGCAGGTGGAAGAGCCAGGGTATCGTGCGGGTGCTGCTGATTTCAAGGCTCCAGAAGCTGCTTGGTGTCTGAGGATGCACTCATCCCATTGATAAGAAAATGTGGTTATTTATGTATAAAATACAGTCTGGCCTATGTGGCTCAGTGGTTGAGCATCAACACATGAACCTGGAGGTCATAGGTCAATTCCTAGTCAGGGCACATACCTCAGTTTCGGGCTCAATCCCCAGTCAAGGGCATGCAGGAGGCAGCCGATCAATGATTCACTCTCATAACTGATATTTCTATGCCTCCTCTCTCCGAAATCAATAAAAATATATTTAAAAAAGAATAAATTACAAATATTTTCCTTTTAATGTATGTGTATTACTTTTTAGTCATTAGGGAAAATGTTCATATGAGGGTAAATCTAATTATTAGACCTTCTAGCTATTTGTTTTGGTCGGGTATGCCTGGAGTCAGTAATGGCACTGTAAACCACGTGACTGTGGGGTGAGGAGGCCTCTACGTCAAAGTGTTAATGATGGCTTTTATGTGTTTTGCATTAAAATGGGACAAATGTGTAAGTCCAAAAATAACCATTCCCATTGCAGATTAAGTTTGACATAAACTAATGCTGTTCCTTTGTATGTTCCTCATTCTCCTTCATACTCGTGCGTTGCTCATGAGCTGGCATGTTCATCTTTTAGACATGAACAAACATGTTCTCTCTTGTTTTCTTCTTTCAGAGAGTGGGTTAATCGAGCCCCATCTATTCACTTTCTGAGAGTGTTAATCTGTCTGAGACTACTCATGAGGGATCCATGTTACCAGGTTGGTTGGAAAAAAAAAAAAAGATATTTTGTACTGGTGATGAAGATGAAATATAACACTGGTGGGTTTTTCTTCAAAGCAGGCCATGTTAAACTTTTTCATTCTCTTGCAACTCAATAGCTTTCAAATGTGGAAAGGATCTCAGCTGCTATTTAAAAATAGGAGAAAAGTGATTTAATGAGGACCAAAAGGAAAATCTCTACATTTCTACTATATTACGTATGGGATTAAGTGGATTACTTATTGGTCTATGTTGTCATATTGGCTGACATTGAAAACCACAGGCAGTCAGAAAGGTATGCACTTGGCCACACCTTCAAGCATGTTCAAGGTCAAAGTCAGCTGTGACCAGTAGGGGCGCTTTGGGGGGCTCTAGAGTTGTGGTGGCTCCACATTTTCCCTTTAGAAGAACCATTCCCTTCCTCCTCCTGTATTTTAGGCTGGCTTTGTGCTGTTATAGTTTAGCCAACCACAATCATTTGACTAAGAGACTTAGGGCACCTCTGATGGCTTTCTGTCCGGATAACTTACAGTTTTCTAGGAGTTTTCATTTCCCTCATGACCAACCACACAGAACTGCATGTTCCACACATTTCTGAGCTGCCATGAGCGATGCAGCATGGGTCACATATGATACGGGTGGACCATATGTTCCACTTTGCCCCAGTCAGTCCCAGTGTGTGCTCACTCTTCCTACTTAATAAGTAGTCACACCCTCCTTTTCTCTCCAGCATGTCCCCATTGGGGTGAGAACAGTGCATATATAATTTGAAGGAAAGTGGAGGCAGGTGGAGAGCTAGTGCTTTGGCTTATAGAAATTAAGAAAATATTTGCCCTAGTGATGTCCTGTTTGTTCAGAACACTGGTGACAGTTGTGTCATGCTCGGCTGATCTCCTTTCTCGGCCAAGTTCCTGATGGAATCAGTCAGGGTTGATTGTACTGCTCTCCGAAGGAAAGAATTCAGCAACCTCTTTGTTTATGGGGATTTCGTTACCAACACCCACATTAAACTATTATCTCTCTCTGGTTTCGTCTCTCCATAGAAGGGGATGCTCTCCGAATCGCTCCTTCTGGCAGCCTTCTCGCAAAGAAGAGCATGTGCTCAGGCAGTTACTCGGTATCTAAAGTTGCCAAGAATTGCTGGCTAAAGTCACAGAGCTAGGCTGGGGTTTACGACCACTGATGCCGCAGAGTCCCGGCGAGCCTTCGCCGCGGCTCGGCATTCCTGTCCTCGCTGGTGGTGTCCAGCATCCTCAGCTGCTGTTCCAAACCATCTTCCTCCTCACACCCAAACCGCCTGCTGCCCCTGTCACTCTCATCACCGTACATCTGTTTCACGGGGAAATCTGCAGACGTCCCAGTGGGAGTGCTCCCATTTCCTCCTCTTTGTTGCTTGAAATATTTGGATTATCGCGCAACTTTGCTTCTCTCCTTGTTTCAAAGGAAACATCCCCTGTCCTTGCCAAGGCTTACCCTCCCATCTGTTCTCTTGTCAGTGGCTCCCCTTCTGTTTGCCTTTATCATAAATACCCCCTTTTTGATCCTTTATCCCTTCCAATCTTCCATCTTACTATCATCACTGCATTTTTTGAAAGGTCAGGATATGAACCCACTTCCTTTCTATCTGGACAGTGAATTCTGTGCACAGGGCTCTCTCTGGAAGCCATGGAATAGCCCAGAGTGTGGCAGGCTTTTGTCATTCCTTCACCCAGAGGCTGCAAGCTGGTGGCTTACAGAGCGAGTCTTTTCTGCCAGTGTACAGAGGCTTCAAACTATGCCTCATGGAGATTCCAGCAAGAAAACACTGGATGAAAGGGAAGCCACCATTGCTTAGAGTTTTCCTTAATTAAAGACAGACATGCAAGGTTTCAGGTATCCTTGGAGCTCTGAGCAGCATAAGATCAATTTCCAGCTGGATTCATATAGTGAAACCCCAGCACATTACTTATTAAGGATAAAGGGAAAACCTTAAAGGTTCCAAACTACAATTACATTAGAAGCAACAGTGAGAAGGCAGTCCAGCGGAGGGGCCCTGTCTCAGCCTCGCCCTCCCCAGCCCTCTGCAGCCTGTCCCGCACTCTCTGCCTCACCGACCCCGAGAACCTCCAGCTCTTCCTCAGCCCTTTGCGTTCTTCTTCTGTTTTACTTACTTGTTCCTTTTTTAAATCCCATTTTTCTAAATGTTAACTTTCCCAAAGTCCTTTTATTTATTTCTTTCTTTTTAAAAAAATACATTTTATTGATTTTTACAGAGAAGAAGGGAGAGAGATAGAGAGCCAGAAACATTGATGAGAGAGAAACATCGATCAGCTACCTCCTGCACACCTCCTACTGGGGATGTGCCTGCAACCAAGGTACATGCCCCTGACCGGAATCGAACCTGAACCCCTCATTCCGCAGGCTGACACTCTATCCACTGAACCAAACCGGCTTTGGCTGTCTTTTTTTTTTTTTTAAATAATATATTTTTATTGATTTCAAAGAGGAAGGGAGCGGGGGGAGAGAGAGAGAAACATCAACGAAGAGAGAGAATCTTTGATTGGCTGCCGCCTACAAGCTTCACACTGGGGATTGAACCTACCACCCAGGCATGTACCCTGATCAGAAATTGAACCGTGACCTCTTAGTTCATAGGCTGACGTTCAATCACGGAACCACACCAAAAGGGCCCAAAGTTCTTTTCTTTATCATCTTCCCCATCACCCTAGCTCTTGGCTTCAACTATCATTTTTTGTTGTTGTTGCTGTTCTTTGCTCCCAACCACATATCTGCATTCTCAAACTTTCTCCTTTACTTAAGCCCTGCATTTCCCAGGATATGATGGGGATAGTCATCCCAGTGACACAGTAGCATAATGGTTCTCCAGGTGTGATCCAAGAACTGCTTATAGGTCTCTGAATCCCCTTCAGGGGTTCACAGGATGAAAACTGTCTTCAAGATAGTGCGCAGGTGTTATCTGCCCCTTTGCTCTCACTCCGTACAAGTGTGTAGTGTGGTGTCCCAGAGGCTGCAGGTTGCGTGATGTCATGGCTGTGACGGCTGATGGAACATGTGCTGTGCACTCTTGATTGTTAGGAGTTTCTCACTGGCGATTCCTAATATGGTAAATGTAGATAGACATAACCCATATAAGCAAAGTCTTTGGGGTTCTAAAGAATTTGTAAGGGTGTTAAGGGGTACAGAGACCAAGGAATTTGAGAAGCACTGTTGTAGCACATTATGTGCAATAACTTTCAAATGGTCCTCTTCAATTCTCCCTCAAGCCTTTTAGAAGAGTGGTTACTCTTACTCCTGGGGAGATAAGTGAAGGCCAGTGTATAGAGGAGGGTTTTAAAATCATGATGGAGGAATCAGCAGCGGGGAAACACTGATAAGTTTGCACAGTTAGTGATTCAGGATCAAGGGCTCCCTGCAGTGTGTTCAGCATTGCTTTAGTTGCTGAGTAGGTCAAGATGAGCATGTCTAATGGCAATGACATTTTCGGCTGTGGTAGACATAGTAGTGGACTAACAACACCCACATTGGCATGCAGTGTGTTCCATTTTTTTAGGCATGCTTTTTATCTGTATTATATTATTGTATCCCCCCCCCCCCTTTTTTTTTTTTTAAATAAAAGGAAATCTCAGGGGATAGGCAGAACAAGGACATTTGCTCACATTTTGCACATCAAACTGAGGTCTGATTGACTAACAGACTTTCTCTAGGTCATTAGGCTCAGAAGTACAAACCTGTCCTGTGACCCTCCAGGCTGTGACCAGGGAGAAAACACTGAGGCCCGACAGGGCAAGCAGGAGGTGGCCCTATACTCTAAGTAGGCAGTCATGTTTGCTTTTCAGATCAGTAACCAGAGCTGTCAAGCCCAGGTATGGCATACCTTGTGGTCTTGCTTTTCTCTAGTCGATGCTTTCAGGTTGGAACAATCCCATTGGTGTAACCAAAGGAAATACAAGGAAGACCACGGGTCTGTGAGCAATCACCTGGACTTGCTCCAGTCTCCATAAGAGAATGGGAGGGGGCAGAATGTTTATTTCATAAATAAAGGGTGAAGTCTTGAGTACATAGCGACAAAATTCTCTTTGCCCTTTTATTAAAAAAAAACACAACTTTTTAAAATTATTTTTTTAAATCCTTACCCAAGGATATGTTGAGACAGAGAGAGAGAAAAAGAGAGAGAGAGAGAGAGAGAGAGAGAGAGAGAGAGAGAGAGAGAGAGAGAGAAAGAGAGAATCCTCAATGTGAGAGAAACATGGATTGGTTGTCTCCCACATGCACTTGACCTGGGATTGATCCCCACAAACTGGGTATGTGTCCTGACAGGAATTGAACCTGTGACCCTTTGGTGCATGGGGCAATGCTCCAATCAGCTGAGTCACCTGGCCAGAGCCGCTTTGCCCTTCTTATACTTCATAACAGTACTTCTCAAACTATGCTTCCCAGTGGTTAAGTATTCTGTGAACAGAATTGTGCGCCAACAGATATGTTTAGGAAAGGCTGCACTCCAGGTCTCCCATTGGAGCAGCATAGTAAAAGCTCTGAGGAGTCCTATGATGAAGCACTTTGTTAAACTCTGTGTAACCTAGTTCCTAGCATTTCCCAAGCTAATTTGAATTTGATCACAAAACTTTTTTTTTTTTTTTTTTTTTGGTAGAATTTCTAATACCACCCACGCACAGAATAGAATAATCATCCCCATGATATAGTTTAGGAAACACTGACATAGTCCCATAGTGTTAACATTAATATTTGGATTAATATATTTCTCATCAAGGTAAACATTTAATGATGAACTTAAAAAAACAAACAAGAATAACAACAAAAACAAAATGTTTAAAGTGAACTTGACCATGACGAATCATTTGAACATTATTCTTTTCCTTGGTGTCTTCTCATTTCCTTGGTATCTTCTCATTAAAATTTAAATCCCCTTTATGTCAGCAACTTTGAGATTTGAACCTTTTGCCCCTTATCTCATTTTTCATGGCCCGTTGTATTTCTTTTTCACCTATATATTCTATCAGCAACTCAACATATCCAATCAAGTCTTCTCCTCTAACCTAGTCTAATCTTCTCTCCCTCTTGGTGTTTGTTAATCAAGGCCCTGTCCCCCTGTTACCCACACTCTAATATGGTGGTGCCTTGTACTTTCTTCCCTTTCTTCCAATGTGTCTTCCTCTTCATATCACTTCAAAAACTATCTCGGCCTCTCCATCTGCCTTCCCACTGCCATGGCAAACCAATTGGGCCTCCAGTTGACTCTTTGCCTCTCCAGTTCATTCTAAGACTAGAGGGGAAGTCCTTATAGCTGATTCTGATCAGTCCCTTGTTCACGCATTTCATTGGGTTTCCTGGTCTGCATGATGAAGCCTAAATCCAGCCTCATGTCTCAGGCCTCCCTTGGTGTGATCCCATCCTGCTTTTCTAACATTAGTCCCAAGAGTGTTCTTCCTGGAGTTACGGAGGTGCTTTCCAGAGTTATGGAACACCTTGATGTTCTTTCTGACAACTTCTTTGCGCCTTGGAGCTCACTGTTCTTTTTGCTTGGAATTCCTTTATCTTCCCTTGTCCCCCATTTCTCCCTAGCAGATCTTTCCATCTTTCTCAACCCATCAGAGCCCATCACTCTTATGAAGTTTCCCTTAGTCCTCTCAGCAGGATATCACGTATCCCTAGGACTTCATGAATAACTTGCTTATAACATTGACCAAATTCTGCCTTAAATTCCAATTCTCTGTGAATCTACCTTATGTCAGAAATTCAGGAAGTAGGCCTCTGCCATCTACATATTTGTGTCCTCTTTAGAGCCTAACCCAGGGCTTTTACATAACAGGAATGGAAAAAAAATTGTAGAATAAATATTAATAGTTTTTAAATGTTACTTCTATTTTTATATGTATAACATCGCTAGGGATAATGTATACAACATTCCTGTGTTCTTTAATTATAGCTTTTCTGGCATGAGTAGCAGTGAAGAGAATTCAAATTAATAGGTAGTCACAGAACTATTTTTAATTGAGTTATAAAGGTCCTTTCACTCTTAATTTAAACACGGATATGTTTAGTCTTTCCAAATTCACTTTGCACAGAAGAAGGAAACCTTGACCCCAGAGGCCTTGAGAGCCTGCACCTGCCCCCACCTGCCCCACCTGCTCCCTCAGTAGATCAGCTTCCTGGCGGGACTTCACTATTCCCTCTCACACTTGTGTACTCAGCCCCTTGCACTTCCCAGAACTGGACCGATGGCTGATGTTTATATTTCAAATAACTTCCTTGTGTGCATGTTAAGTAAGAAGTGAGACGTCAACACAGCTTTAATTAAGCAGGTTAGGGTCACCTGAACTACTTTGGCCTGAAAACAAATGTCAGTGTGAACAATCCGAGAACACTTCCTATTCATAGCTCCAAGCTGGTCTCCAGCCTCCCAACCCCCTCTCTTCCTCTTTGGCACTTTGAGGAAGCTTCGGGATTGTGATGAGATGCCTTCTGACTGGGAATTGGATTTTTAGACCTGTGTCAGGAGACATTTGGCAAAGATGACCCTCACACTAGTTCAGAGCATGGGTTTGAGAAGACCATTAGACTAATCATTTTAAGGGAAGCCTGTTGTCTGTTCTTATTGGAACTCAGAGTGTGAGTCAGCAACAGATTCTGCATTTCCACTCAGCCCCCAGGCCAGGTTGATGCAGCTGGTCTGCGGGCCACACCAGGCTGAAGCCCAGAGAAAGGGTCTGGGCATTTGGCTTGTCACTTAGGCAAGTGGTTTACCTTTCTGGGTCTTGTTTGCCTGTCTGCAACATGAGAGAATTAAAGGGAGCAATAGCTAACAGTTCCTTTGAGCTCCACCAGTTTCTGATGACATGGGAGAAAGTGAAAAAGCAAGAAGTCTGCCTGAGGCTATGAGCATATTTATATTTTCTGATTCTCAACCCAACCTTCATTTTGATTAACAGTTTACCTTAAATGTAGTATGACAAGCATTCAAGTTTTCCACATTGATGTTAGAATGTGGACCTTCATGAAATAATTCTAAATCTCACAAATTAATATAAGAAATTGCATGCAAAACACACCTTTCCCCCCATCTTTTATGTATGCTCTGTTGTTTCTGTTTTATTAGGAAATACTCTACAGCTTGGGTGGCATTGAAAGCCTAGCTCAGGTAAGATTCCTTCTGCGGTGGCTGGTCTTGCCTTTCCATGTTGCACCAGGGCTCTGGGCAAGGACTACATGAGACAGAAGATGGCTTTTTGAAACCAGAAGCTGCCTGCCCAAGGGAGGAAGAGGCAGGGTTAATAAGTGAGAGTGTGAGGCAGGACACTCACAGGGCAGGGCGGGACCCATGACATTTTGTTCTGGCTAATTGGGCTCACTTTACCTAGCCTGTTGAAACGAGAAAGTGCTATAAAAGGTCACATGTCTTTAGTTAGTAATGAAAAGAAATAGATCTTGGCTGGCAGGCCCAGTCCTCAGTGCTGCACGTACCAAGTGATGGGAGACAATATTGGTGATGAAGCTGCTCGCAACTTTCTTACACTTTTAAAAAGAATCACCATGTTCACTAAAATTTTAACCAGTAAATGAAAATGTGAGGAATGATTTTAACTTCATTTATTTTTCAGCTGTGGTAATTACTGAGGGAAAGTAAGCAGGAGAATAGATGTGCTGAGCTCATCAAATGCTTGGGTTTGTTAATTTGCTAAAGCATGACATGGCATTGAATTGAAACAGTCCATTCTCCTAAAACCCAAAGCATGTACAGAAAAATGGTTTTCATAGTAAGCCTGTGGTCCTCAAAACTCTGAATTATTAAAAGAAGATGAAGTTTTATGGCAATTTAATGTTAAATTTATGCTATTTTCATTTTTGGGAAATGAATACAATGTATCTAGCTTTTGTTTTTAAGATTTTAAAAAATTGGTTGGAGATTTACCTCATTTAATGAAATAGTCTTTCATAAAATTGTAAATGACATCCTTATTCACTTTAACCTCCATTAAAATGTTGGAAATTAAATTGTACTAAAAGTCACAGTGAAGAAATAAACTTCCATGTACTACATATTATGCATCTTATTTGTATCTTATAATTAGAGGCTAAATTACACTACAAACCTATTCATCTACAAATTATTGGGGGACTTTTCAGAGTTTTATACAGTTTTTGCATGGTCCCTCCCTAACTTCAGGGCATGCAAGAGAGGGCCTAGAAACCAGAAACTCAGTCACCCATTTGCACTTGAATGAAAGGGGCCCGAAAGCACTATTATTTGGTGAATCTGTTGCGCCACCTACAGCTCATCTTTAGAAGTGCACAATCTTGTCATCTGCTTGTATGCTTTTGGTGTCTCCTCTGACTTGCATGTTGGTTTGGTCCCTCCTGCAGTACATGGAGATCGTGGCCACTGAGTACCTCAGCTACAGCGAGGAGCAGCACAGTGTGGGCAAGCTGGTCAACATGACGTGTAAGCATGGCCGGGGGGCAAAGGGATGGTACACAGCCAACTCTGCACATGCAGAATAAGCAGCACGGTGTTTGCAGCACAGCAGGAAAAGGGATACTTTGAACATTTATGTGGTGAGACTCCATGCTATTTGTCATAGTCAGTGCTAAAATAGACCCAGAAGGAAGACTTCTAGATCCACAATTGTTACCTCGAAAAGCCCAATTTCACGTTTAAGAATATTTTCATTGAGCACAAGCTTTCGCTATATAATGCAGGAGAGACTTTCATACCAGCAGATTTTGGTAAACATATCTTTTGGTTCCTCTAATTCCTACTAACATGTGAGAGGCTATTCAGTTTTCATCTATAAAGTTGGGTTAATCATGATCCTATCTTCAAACATTGAAACATCCAAAGCATAGAAAAGAAAAAAAGCCCTAATGTGATAACAATAATGTGAACTCGTTGGTCTGTGTGGAGAGCTGATCTCTGGTCACCCAGTCTTCTCTGTCTGGAGGCTCTTCCCAGCCCCACCTTCCATCCCCTTCAGAGCCTTCCTGCCGTGGGGTACTCATCCCCCTCTCTTTGTGAACAGGCTGGTTTCCCGCCCGTGTTTGCTTACTGGGCAGCACCCTGATTCAGTCACAGGGAGAGAAGTACAGGTGGTGAGCTCTGGGCATAGGAAGGCTCTTTGAGAACAACCGCTTCTCTCAGCCGAGGAGTCCTGCTAGGTCCATCACATCTGCTGGCTTCCCTCTCCTCTCTGCCCAGTTGACATCTTCATGGGGCGGGTCTTGGAAAAAACAGGTTTCACTGTGAACTTATAACGATGTTAAGAAACTCACTTAACTTTAGATGGAAGGAAAGCTTTGCCTTTTTGCTACCCCCTTATTTCATTATGTAATAGTGTCATACAATAAATACCAGCTGAGCTGGAGAGGTACTTCTTGAACTCAAAAACAACAACAAATAACCCAGTTCCTTCCCCCTCCATTGTCCTTTCTGTGCTGTATCTCCTTTTCCATTGCCCTTTCTCTGCTGGCTCCATAATACTTTAGGCGTGAGGTGCTAAGAGTACCACCCCAGTTCTGAATCCCTCTTTGAGTTATTTTCTTACTTTATAGATATTTTTCAAAAGCTTGCTGCTGTCAAAGACCAAAGAGAATGGGTCACCACGAGTGGCGCCCACAAGGTGAGTGGTCCTGGGAAGTCAACACTTAGCTCCACGTGGCATTGGTTCACCCTGTGTGGGGTTCAGAACCCTGTGGTCAAGTTCTATGTCATTATAACTCAGATCTGCTAACCGAACCTCAACTTGTAAATCTCTGCTAACCCTTGAATATTCTCTACCAGCCCAAGGAGCAAATATAGGGGTTTCTGAAACTTTCCCCCCATATGTCACTTAATACCAACTAAATTTATTAATTTAAATGTTGCTTGCAAAGCCCTGACTATACATAAACTGATCCTAGGTGCATGATTACAAATAAACAGTGCAATGTGTGTATTCATAGAAATGCATTCCATGTGGCACCAGAGGGAAGACTTTTAGATCATAGGTCTTGTCTTGAAAAGCCCAGTATCATGTTTAAGATTTTCACTGAGTGTAAGCTTTCTTTATTTAATGTCAGAGGGACTTCTGTAACAGCAGATTTGGGTAGCAAAATTTTTTGTCTCATTTAATTTCTATTAAAATGTCAGAAGCTATTCACTTTCCATCTACAAAGTTGGGTTCATAATAATACCTATTTCATAAAATTTGGAACATTCCATTTTCAAAAAATAAGTTTTTGTTTGTTTTCCATTTTAAAAAGTGAGTTTCCAGGTTATGTTGGCTTGAACCATAGGAAGTTGCCATGGTTTGTGGGCCACTTTCACGTGGTCCCATCTTATAATTAGACTAGAGGCCTGATGCACAAAGATTTGTGCAAGAATGGGCCTTTCTTCCTCTGGCTGCCGGCACTGCCTTCACTCTGGCCAGAGCCACCTTTTCACCTTCCCATGCTGCACAGAGGCCTGGAGCTGCTGGGGCCATGTGGCATGCCTGTGTCATCACCATGGTGACAATGCAAGCATCCTGCCCCCGGCCTCTCAGCTCCAGTGTATGCAAAGTAACCTGCCATCTTTGTTGGGTTAATTTGCACACTCACTTTTGATTGGCTGGTGGGCATCACAAAGGTACGGTCAATTTGCATTTTTCTCTTTTATTAGTGTAGATGATATAATTTTATAAGCATATGGGTCAAATGTACATTTCAAGATAGTTGAATGCAGGTTTAACCAAATAGACTACATTTATATTTATAGCAAAACTATTTAGATGGTAGCTGCCTAGAGCCAAATTTTAATAATCTGTTGATTTCTTATATTCCAGGAAGCCACTTTCCAGGGTATGTTAGAGCAAGGTTGCCTCAGATGCTGCTCATTGGATAGCAGGGATGGGGAACCATTTTTCTGCCAAGGACTGCCATTTGGATATTTATATATTCATTCATAGGCCATATAAAATTATCAGCTTAAAAATTAGTCTGCTATATTTGGTCAAACATTAACTCACCCCTAATGCCTTGGCAGGGCCAGATCAAATGATTTTGTGGGCCTTATATAGCCTGCTGGCCACGCATTGCCCACCTCTGGTACAAGGAATGATTCTAGGTGATATAAGGTCAACATTTCTCATTTAAATAGTCATATTTCACTGATATTATTGCTTAGAAGTTGCAAAACATTTGTGAGTAGTATTGAGGTTTTAAGTGGATGTGGCAAAAATTATAATAAGGATCTCAGTGACTGACATTTGGGAAACATTTAAGTTAGAAGACAGAGAGAGGAAAGAAAAAGTGAGATGAAAAAAGAGGAAAGAAACAAAGATAAAGATAGCTTTATAAAAATGCATGAAATCATAAACTTTTGGTTATATAAAGCCTACTGATGGAAAATCCAAAGTTGTCCAGCAGTTGATGCAAGATGTGGCCTGGACTCAGTCTGAGTGGGAACTTCTGGGGGACTCCTGAGTTTTAAAAATGTACACAGAAGAGCAATGAACTTGTATTAATGGAAACTCAGCAGAGCAAACTGATAAGATCAGAAGACTTCTAGCCAAGTCATGCTCCTCAAGATGATGTCTGGAAGCATTGATTCATGCTCTTTCAGCATGAATTAGACATCTGAGAGGCAAATGGAGTGCTTCGTAGTGTTGACGTATCTTGCTTAGTTGGGGGTGAGGGGAATGACAGTTTTCAACATTTTGGTGAAAATGGTTCCACAATGCCTGACTTGGAATGTGTTCCCCACAACCGGTATTCTGTGTACTTAGTTATGACCAGTGTTTATGTCATTATTCTCCCCACTTCTCCCTGGGGGGAAGGGTCAGAAGAAACAGAGCAGACTTCTTGGGCACATGGAAATAGAGGCAAGTGTGAGAACCGGGGCTGGCCATGTGGCTTGGCCCCCTTTTCCTTTCTGTCTTGGGCAAGGAATGGCTACAATGTGCCAGAGTCAAGAGTTCCAGTCAAGGATCAACGCCTGGCCCCTGTAGAGAGCTGGATGCCATGATTGTTTAACAGAACTCCCGTTGAGGTTAAGCCTCTATGGTCTTTGCAAGGAAACATTATACTGTTCTAGAAGCATGTGGTACTTATGCAGTTAAACTTTCTTTTTCTTCATTTGTTCAGACATTAGTAAATTTACTCGGTGCCCGAGATACCAGTGTTCTGTTGGGTGCCCTTCTGGCTCTGGCTAGTTTGGCTGAAAGGTAAGTGTGTTTTGATACACTGTCCAGTTCTACTACTGTAGCAATTTAGGTGGCAGAGATACCAAATAGATCAGTTTCTCTACTTACTTGGCTACCTACTCAGAAAAATAAGCATGGCGTTCCATTAACACATATATTTAAGAGGATCTTGGATAGAAAAGCATCATTTTAAATTTTGAGCTGTTGGAAAGACAAATCACAGTTTAAATTTTTCTTTCTCCCCTCCCCCCAACCAGAAATATTTACCTAGTCTTTCATTCAATGTTCAGTTACTTCTACTTTCAAAATTATTATTGACAATTGAATTTCTCTAATATTTTTTTTCCATTCTTTCCTTTGTACTTACTTTGACATATTCAACATTTTCAAATATTATTACCCTTAAAAAAACCCTAATTAACCTGTCCTCTAATAGATCTGATTACTTAAAATAAAAGAGCTGGAAGTATATTTCATGCCAATAAGTGGATCATTGCTTTTTTCCCACTGAGTTTTTTTCTCCAACTTTATAGGAAACAGTTGAAATATAATTGTATGTATTTAAAGTATACAACATGATGATTTATATACATTGTGGAATTATGACCAAGATCAACGTAATTAATACATCCATCATCTCATGTAGTTATCTCTGTTTGTGTGATAAGAACACAGATCTGCTCTCAGCAGCTTTCAAGTATACAATGCCATATTAGTACGTGTAGTCACCATGCTGCACATTAGATCCTTAGGATTCATTCTTCTTATAACTGCAAGTTTATACCTTTCATTTAATCTATATATTCCCATTTCCTCCCCTTGCCATACCCTGGCAACCACCCACCATTCTATTCTCTGTTTCTACTTAATCAGCTTTTTGTTTTGTTTTGTTTTAATGCTGTTTTTAGATTCCACATACAGTATTTGTCTTTCTCTTCTTTCACTTAGCATAATGTCCTCTGTGTTCATTCATGTTCTTATTTTTATGGCTGAATATATTTAATTGTATATATCACATTTGCCTTATCCATTCATCTGTCAAAGAAGAAATAGCTCATTTACATATTTTAACTCTTGTGAATAGTGCTGATCATTACTTTTTTGGTGAGCAGCATGGTTCCCTTTGCAGTAAAGGAATTAAGTTATCATCATACTATTATTAAACAGATTTATGACCTATAATGTTAATCGAATGTTGGGATGTAATGCAAACCTGCCCCATGGAGTTATATTGCATTTTGTTTTCCTCCTGAGATAATATGAGAGCTAGGATATTAAATAAGTGAATATGGTAAACTGTGTTTTTAGTAGTTACTAATAGTTTTCAATTTGTAGCCCAGAATGTAGGGAGAAGATAAGTGAACTCAACGTTGTAGAAAATCTGCTGATGATTTTACATGAATATGACTTACTTTCCAAAAGGTAGGATTGCTCACAGGGAAAAAGACAATGTCTTATATTTGATGAAAATGATTATTATTATTTTATTATCTCATATATTTTACATTATTAACTGATTATCATGAGTCAGCTTTGCATTTGTTTTCTATTTAAGTTTATGTGAAGTAAGTAGAGCAAGGTGGTGTTCTTTAGTCTTATATTCTAGATCTGGGCATAGAATCAAATTGTATAAATTCTATGATCACATCTTTAATATATTTCTTATTGCATTTATTTACATCTTGTCTCTTTAAGGAAAGAAAATCTGACATGGCTCTATTTTTAGTAATTTCAGATTGTGTGTTGAAGAAATGATTAATTGCTAAAATCTATTTTGCTTAAGGCCAGTAAAATAAATTATAATGGGTATTGGCCTGTTTCATGACCTCCTATTTTTATAACTCAAAACAGAAACTAGTGTAAAATTAAATCATTCAATTGAACTACATATTGCTCTAAAGAATTACTATACACAGATAGTTATTAGTTTGTCTGTAAATAGAGTTGCAGTCAACATCATTTGATATGTAGTCAAGTAAATAATTTTTTAAAGAGGCGAAATAGATAACAGAAAGTCAAGTAATGAAACTCTGAAACTTAAATTCATAGTAAATCCTAGATTCTTCTTTAAAGCCATTTTATTGTCCTTTTACAAACTACCCCTGAACTCATTCACCCAACTAACAGCCTCTCACAAGTGCTGGCGAACCACAGATGAATAAGATACGAGTGAATAGAGTAGGAGAGGACAGGCACGCACATCAGCGGTCTTGCCACAGCACTGTCCGTGGTGAGATCCCTGGTGTGTCTGTGGTGCGGTCCCTGGTGCACTGGATATGCTGGAGCACAGAGCAGAACCTCCGAGGGGGCATGCAGGTTTCCCAAGGGCAGGAGGAGTGATCGAGGCAGAGGGAGAGAGCCAGTGGAAACAGAATATGCTCCCACTTGAAACGGTATGTGTTAGAGGATCTTGCATGGTTGGGCACAGCTGGAGCCAAGAATGCAGGAGGGAAAGTGCCAGAAACCTAGACTAGACAGTATTAATGACACATTAAAAAATACAGCTAATTTTGGTCAGGCCCTGCTCTAAGTCCTTCTGTGTGTTTACTCATTTGAGCTGCACAGTAACCCCATTAATGTCCATATTTTATGGCCAAAGCAATAAAACACCATTAGGTCATGATGGACTCTTTGTGCTAAAGAAGAAGTGTAGGTTTTGTTTTGTTTGTTTTGTTTTTATCATGAATAGCAGGAGGGCTCACAGAAAGATGTTAAGCAGGATCAGGTTTATTTCGGGGGGAGGAAGATTACTCTGAAGGCAGTGTGTGGGGGCTCTGGGTGGGGAGTATAGCTGCACGATATCCACGTAGACTAAGGAAGGAATGTGTTGTGTAGAAAGTCTGAAAGGTAAAGAATACGGTTTATCAAAGAACATATGTTCTGAATGTCACAGCATGAAAGTGAGGAGCTATGGAAAAATTGGCTCAGGGGAAAGGGATTTTGAAGGGAATGAGAGTATTGGAGATGTAGATGACAGAGGGGCTTATCCCTGGAGCATAGTCAAATATTACAGGAATGGGAGGAGCCGTGGGGCTAGCTAGCTGCATGGCTTACAAGAGACTTGATCCCAGCAGTTGCCCAGGAAACAGGGGCACTGAAGGTTCTTGATTGGCAGTGGCAGGTTGAGATGATTTCCACTCTTCTATGGTGTCATGAATCAAGATCAGGGACAAAAGAGGAAGAGCCGATAATGTCTTTGAGTTTAGACACAGTGGGGTGAGTACCGCATAGTAAGTTGCTGAAGACTAAGATAAAGCTTTTATATATCTGTGTCTTGAGCACACTGCAGGTCCCATTTATGTATCTGACATCTATTTGCTAGCTAGAAGTTTTTTAGCCAGACCAATGGGGTTACAATGAGAATATGACTTAGAACAGCAGTCAGCAAACCGGGACCTGAAAGCTAAATTTGGCCCCCTGCCTGTTTTTGTAAATAAAGATTTATTGAGACACCGCCATGCCCCATTTATTTATATGGGTTGTCTATGCCTGCTTTTGCTCATTTTGGCATGACTGGATCGTTGTGACAGCCTATATGCCAGCAAAGCTGAAAACATTTGGCTGGGGCCCAGCCCTTCACAGGAAATGCATGTTGACCTGCGATTTAGAAAACATTAGACGGATCCTTCACGCAGTGATGACAGCTCTGGTCTAGATGTAGTCAATGACCCTCATCCTCGCCGCCTGCCCCCCAGGCTGACCGCGGAGCTGCTGCGCCTGCTCTGTGCCGAGCCCCAGGTGAAGGAGCAGGTGAAGCTCTACGAGGGGATCCCCGTCCTCCTCAGCCTGCTCCACTCGGACCACCTGAAGCTGCTCTGGAGCGTGGTCTGGATCCTGGTGCAGGTTTGCGAGGACCCCGAGACCAGTGTGGAAATCCGCATTTGGGGAGGCATCAAGCAGCTCCTTCACATTCTAAGAGGGTGAGTGAGGGCGGGCTCTGGCCCACGATGCCCTAGTCATGGACTGCAGATTGGAAACATGCTCGGCTCGCTCCCTCCTGGTCTATAGTAGTTAAGCAATAACTCCAAAGACAAAAACCTATCCTCTTACCACATAGCACTGAGTTTAACGCAAGGAACCATTTTTCCTCGTTGGCTCAAGTCATAAGAAAGAAAAGAGTTCTTTCACGTCTAACGAGGCATTTCTGTGGCGCAATGTTAGAATACTCTCCTGGGAAGATGAGAGATGTCAACACTTTTTCTATGTGAAATATGTCTCAGTGCTCTGGGAGAATTTATTACCCCACCTGGATAAACAATATCCTTTCAGAGCCTGTGCCTGCCCCTGAGCTGCCTCGAGCCGGTTCGAGGGGTGGAGGCTGCCAGGTTTTCTGCCGGCGTGAGTATGAACAGGTGGTGTTGCCAGGGCAGTTTCCAGGGCGCCGGTTCATACCCATTCACCTGCAGTCACCACTGGGCCCAGATGATGAGGGGGACTCCATCCACATTATCTTCAGGTACAGAAATCCGGGCAGAGCTGCTGTCAAAAACAAACAAATGGAAAAATATGGTGCACATAGAACAAAAGGGATCAAAGCAGATAAAACACACCTAGACTCTATTATGGAAGATGTTACATCACACAAACAAAAGAACAAATGTTTAATTTTGTCAAAGAAGTTAAACAGCACAGGAAGTTTAGGAAATGAAATTAAAGACGAGAGGATAATAGAAAGGGGAGGAGAGAGGTAGCGAGCTAGGAAAGAAGACAAAGATGGAATAAGCTACACAAAACTGCTAAATTCACTAGAAACTGGAAATAGAAAAAGGATGGGCAAGCTCCTCCTTTAGCCAGACCAATGGGGGTACAATGAGAATATGACTTAGAACAGCAGTCCTCCTTCTCTCTTCTCCTTCTTCCTCCTCCTCCTTCCTTCTCCATCTTCCTCCTCCTGCCTCGCTCTGACACTGTACAGAGATTTCTTCAGCAGGACTCAGAAAGCACTAACGAGGAAGGAGAGTTGGTAAGCTGACCTGTGCACTAACTTCCCTTCCAGAGACAGGAATTTTGTCTCTGACCGCTCTTCCATCGGGAGCCTGTCCAGTGCGAATGCAGCAGGCCGCATCCAGCAGCTCCATTTGTCAGAAGATCTGAGCCCTCGGGAAATACAAGAAAACACTTTCTCTCTCCAAGCAGGTATTTATAGCATATTATTATGTTTTGCTATCGGGCACTGTTTAATATTACATTGATTATTCTCTTTATTTTTAATTTACTATTATTATTTTTTTAATCCTCACCCGAGGATATTTTTTCAATGATTTTTAGAGAAAGTAGAAGAGAGAGGGAAAGACAGAGAGAAATATCAATGTGAGAGAAACACATCGATTGACTGCCTCCTGAAAGAAGCCTGGACCAGGGTCCAGGCCGGGGAGGAGGCTGAAACTGAGATATGTGCCCTTGACCAAATCAAACCTGGACCCTCAGTCCACAAGCCAATGCTCTATCCACTGAGCCAAACTGGCTAGGGCTTATTATGCTTATTATTGTCTTTATAAAGTTAGTATGACAGTATTAATTAGGCATGATATGTAAGTTTTAAAAAAGTGAAATTAAATCCATGTGGGTGCCTGAAACTTGTTGATACCAGTGTTGGATTTGCAGGTTCATGACACCACAAACTTTCCTCCCCTTCCGCATCCTACACAAACCAAGAGGTCAACAGCAAGGTCAGGTGGAAAGAGTGGATGTTAGCTTTGTTACTGGGAAGGCTGGGTTAGGGAATGTCTGCTAGAGCTCAGGGCTCCCCACTTCAGGGAGATTCTACAGCACACACACCCACTCCGCTGGGAGCAAGGGGGTGCTGGCCTCACACCTCTGAGCTCCTGTAGAGAAGAGAGAGGTGCTGCCAGTGTGGGATCTCCACACAGGAGCGGGAGCAGGAATGCAGGAAGTTTGGGGCAGTTTGGCACAACCCTGGACAGGGCTGTAGCCTGTGGCCTAAGTGCACGTGGCCTGTGTGGCAAGTGGAGCTACAGTGCTGCTGACCAAGCCGGTGCCCTGCCGTGGCCCAGGAAGGGACAGAGGCACCGGGTGGGCAGCAGGAGGGCAGGCAGGCCCTACGGGGAAGAGCAGACATGGGGGTGGGGATTTGAGGAAAAGAGGGGTAGGAGAAGGGTGGACTGCTTCCTACTCTGTCCTCCTGGATAACAGAGGAGCTTCCTCACGGGTGTCTGAGGCCAGGGAAACAGGGGCCCCTGCCTGAGCTGTCATTTCGGCTTCCTCTGAAAGGCCTCCGCCTCAGGATAAAGACTCTTACCGAGAATTTCCTGTTTGAAGGCCCCCAGAATCAAATCCAGTTGAAACCAGAGCTCCTGGTCTCTTCAGGCCCCTCCCCAGAGTGGATGAGATTGATGGTGGCCAGGTCAGAAGGACTGTTACCCACATGTGGGATGAGAAGTTATTTCCTTTGGGGGCAGGGCTTACCGGTGGATAGATATGTAATAGCTCACCGAGCTGTACACTTAAGATGTGTCTGCTTTACACAGCTCATTTTATATCCCAATAAAACAAATTTAAAATGTAAAAACATAAGGTCTTAGGAGTAGTGTCTAAGTTTTGGCTGCACCCCTTTGTTGGCTTTGCGGTCTCGACAAGTTTCTTAACCTGCCCAGGCCTCACTTCTGCTCCTGTGAAATGGCGGTGGTAGTCACGGTGTCCGTGAGCATTATGTGAGCACAGACGTTTTAGCACAGTGCAGAGCTGGCGCAAGGGCACAGTAAGAGCGGCATCACCCCTTATAGATGCTCTGTGCTGCAGGATCCAGCACACCTCTGCCTGGACAGGGGCAGCTCGGGACAGAATGCCCCCAGAGGCTGCTATGTGGCTGCAAAGAGCTCCCAGTGTGAAGGGTGATGCTTCAGTGGTGGGACCTAATGCCTGGCAGGCTGGGCTCGGACCCCTGGCCCCTGCCACTTAATAGTTCTGTGGCCTAGGCCTATAACCTCGGTTTTCTCATCATAAAGCTGGCAATCATCGCACATACTCTGATTATAAGGGTCAGTTTGGATAATTTATTTAAAGAACACATTTATTCAACCAGTGTGGATGTATTTATTAAGCACCTGCTCAGTGGCAGGCACATATTGGCACTGGTGATTCCAGTGAGCCAGACAGATCCAGTCCCTGCCCCTTGATGCATAGTAAGTGCTCACTAAAAGGCTTCTGTGGGCTGTACATGGACACACATTACATACAAAGGAGAGTGCCTTCTCCCGGAGCCGGGCTGAGGAAGATGTGTGGTCCAGGGCGGACTGCTAACAGATTCCCTGGAGTGAGATGGTGACGTGCCTGTGCAGTCCTGCAGTCACAGCAATGGGACCTGACCTTGGCCGTTCTTATTCCAGCCTGCTGTGCTGCCCTCACCGAGCTGGTGCTCAACGACACCAATGCCCACCAGGTGGTGCAGGTATGTGCGCCACTGCCTGGGGAGGAGGGGGGAGGGAGACACATGAGTAGGGAGCTCCACAGGCTGGTCCAACTCTTGTGTCCCAGAATGTAGCTTTGGGAATCCCATCACATGGTTTTAAAACCTTTTAATATGTCTTATTTAACTTGTAGAATTCCATTTTCTATTCTTGTCCTTCTTTTAACTTGCTTGGCTTAAAAAGAACAGAAGTTTAGAAAGATGTTAACTGTGTTTTCATGAATTATGCTCATTTTGTTCTTTTTAGTTTTTAAATGTAAAAATGTGTTTATTCACAATCCTTGACAATCACTCTTGTTTCTTTTATTTTTCTATAATAATTAACATGGATATATTTATTAAAAAACTATAAAAGGAGAAGTTACCTTTCATGATTAGATATTTAAAAGGCAGTGTATACAGATTAAAAAGATATTTAAGTACCTTTGTATCCCCTACTCTAAAGTATTTCATAAAGTATTAGATTGATATACTTTACTATTTGTCATCTTTAAAGACCATTGAAGTTTTCAGGTTGTGGCTGTAGTCTTTGGAATGTAAAAGACACACTGACATTTTTAGTATTGTTCTGCCATATTGACCTGAAGTTCCCAGATTATACTAACTATAACATGGCACCAGTTTTAGGGATTGTTCAGCTGCTTCTTTATGCTTGTGTGTCTCGGTGGCATTGTCCCTGGTCCCTGACCACATACCCTTTTATTCTTCCAGGAGAATGGTGTGTATACCATAGCAAAATTGATTTTACCAAACAAACAAAAGAATGCAGCAAAAACTAATCTACTACAGGTAACAACCATCTCTGTTGCCCTTCAATATCAAGTTACTGAAATCTGGGGAAACCCTGATAATCTAATCTATGATTGTTTAGAATTTTTAGCTTCAGGCTGGTCCCTACACTGACCAGGAGGGAAAATACCTGGTGAGGGAGGGAGGCTGATCTGGAAGCAAATGCTGTTTTTTTTTTTTGTTTGTTTGTTTTATCAATCTTTATTGTTCATATTATTACAAAGGTTCCTCATTTCTTCCCCCCTCCACCAGGTTCCCACCCCACCCTCCACCCCCTCCCCATCCCCCATTGTCCTCATCCATAGGTGCAGTTTATGTTCAGTCTCTTCTTCCCTCCCTTTCCCCAATAGTAAATCCCTTTTCAGATTGTAAATCAGTTACTTAGCATTTTCTCAAATCAGTAATACCTCCACATGCCCAATGCAAATGCTGTTAAAGTAAAAGGCTTAATAACGCTTCGCCTGCGGGAGGGATATGGTGACTTTATTTAGATATTTCTTTGCTTATCAGTTAGTTCTATTCTTTAAGAACATGTAGTGCTCGAGTAGCAGAAAATAATAAGTTGAAAAGCAAGCATGGACCCAGTCACTAACATTTCACCTTTACAAACCACAGCCTGTAAAGGGATCTCAATGGATGAGGAAAGACATGCCAGATGCATGCAGGGATATGAGCGGGCACCAATAGCATCTGCCACAGGGTGGAAGGGCGTCCACATGGAGGGAACAGTATTTGCAAAGTGTGGGTGGGAGCCTGGCAGCTTCCGGTGCAGTGCTGCGGCTGCTCAGTGGGGCTCGATGTGTGGTTGGGAGAGAGGGTACTTCTGAAGATGAGGCCTCATAGGTAAGATGGGGACGTGTTATGCAAGGTACTGTGTGCTTTTAATATGTATATTAAAGAGAGAAAGGGAGAGGGAGAGGGAGATAGAAATATCAATGATGAGAGAGAATCATTGATCGGTTGAGGCCTACACACCCCACAATGGGGACTGAGTCTGCAACCCAGGCATGTGCTCTGACTGGAAACCATGATCTCCTGGTTCATAGGCCAACGCTCAACCAATGAGCCATGCCAGCTGGACTCCTGTGTGCTTTTTTGAGGAGTGGGCATCAGGGGTCCTTGAAGACACCGCAATGATAAAGTCAGATTTTAAATAAAACCTTTTTGGTAGCTGCAGCTCATCCTTTTTTCCCAAGCCATTTAGAAAAGTATGGAACCTCCTTTGCCTCCAATCTGACTTAAGAGCTATTTCCCAGAATGGCGGTCTCAGGGCCGGCAGCCACAGCTACAAAGGAAGACATAGGGGTGTGGGACTGAATGTTTTCAATGACTGCAGATGCACGGCCCTGGGGTGAGGACAATTAGTGTTTTGGGGGGAGTGACTGCTACCAGAGTTCCCTGGAGTTAGAGTATGGATGTGACCAGCACAGACACAGGCAAACCCATCCTATAGACAAGTTTTGTGAAACAGGAGTTTCAAAAAGTCACATTGATATGGCTTTGGAGGAACACATGTGTTCTCCACTCTCTGTCAGTTGCCAGGACCCTCACGGGTCCTGTGGGACATTTTTCACCCGCCTGACTTCCCTGGGCAACACACACCCGCTCCCAAGACTGAACTGTGAGACCCTTCCACTGCATTCAGATCACTGATTTTCTGCAACGATTCCAGACTCAAACTCAGCAGAGCCCAATCACCCCAGGGGCAGCCTGTTGTGTAGATACAGACACAGGCTGGAGGCTCTTTTTATTTCCTGGCGCTGCCAAATGTCAGACGTTTCTCTTCCTCCATGCGGGTCTCACAGGCCTCTCTCTGAGTGTTCACAGGAGTGGCTGTAGATCCGTCTATTTGGGGAACGCCAAAGACTCTTTACTCAAGAGACCCATTTGTCAAGTCCAAGTCCAGCGTGCCCTCGGCTGATTCTGTGTGTCATCAGGGCTAGTGTTTATTTTCTCACAGAACCCATGTAAATATTGAGGCATGCGTGGCAGGCTGGGAACCAAACCCCACCCCAGGCTCCCGGAGCTCCTTGCACGCTTGGTTTTCTCAGCGGAGGAATTTTCTTTTTTGCCCCTGTGCTCATTTGGTACTTTCTAGAAAGGAATGCATGCCAAGTCCCGAGTGAACCAAGGCCAAGATCCCCAGCATTTATGTGACATTAAGTGCTCTCTAAAAATAAGGGTTGGCTCCCACGTAGATGAACCACACTCATAAAGCCACTTTCATGTTTACCTCCTGATAGTTGTAGCCTGAAAGGTTTTCTTTCATTTCTTGAGCTGCCTTTGGAGAATCACACGCCCTTGTCTTTTTCCAGTGTTATGCCTTCAGAGCCTTGAGGTTTCTCTTCAGCATGGAAAGAAACAGGCCACTCTTCAAAAGGTAGGAGCTTCAAGAAATGTAAGCGATACCCCCCACCCCCCCAACACACACACACACACACACCCCCGCTCCCAAGACTGAACTGTCCACATAGTTGACTTAGATGCAGACAGCAAGGGAAGATGAGTCGGAATGCAAAACCTGGGGCTCCAGACTTGGGAGAATCCACAGAGAAAACTGAGCTACCCCAGGGATATCTTAACACTGAGAATGAACAAAATGATGAAGGAGCATGAATCATGCTATCAAGTATAACTCTTCTTATTGACATGTGGCTGCTATCGTTTTAGTTGCGCGCTCTCTCTCTTTCTCTCTCTCTCTCTCTTTTTTTAGACATGAACATTTTAAGTGGATGACATTAAAATCGGTGTTTGGGTTAGCCCATTCACAAATGCCAGTGGAGGTAGTTACGTATTTCCTCTCGGAGAAAGAAGAGGATCTGTGTGGGTGTCTGCCGTAGGGAAGGGGGTTCATTGGAAGGGGAGGAGGCTGATGTTTTTGGGTCGGAGGCTGTGCTGGTGAGCATGACAGAAATCACCACTTTGGGAAGCAAACACTGGTTCCTCACAGGCGTGGTCTGCATGCTGTTCAGCTGGGCAGGTTAGCCAATGTCAGAGGCCCAAGATTTTACAGGAAGCTTAATTATAAGGCAGACTAGAAATAAAAGCTTGAGTTAATGCGATATTGTTCATTTAGAAGCATGGAGTGTTTTATGTTGTTACTATATTTCCATATGATGCTTGAATTTGGGGGGGGAGGGAAGGAAATTATTCACTTATTAAAATCTTTAATTTCAGGGCCCCAAATTACCCATTTTGAGTGGACTTAAAGATTGTAATAAATCTAGCCAATACCTTGGAAATGATGGTAAATCTCTCAACTTTTTTCCTCATTTACCTGTATTTTTATTTTCATAAAATATGAAAAAATTAAGTTAATATTTACCTCCTAGGGCTCATATGAGGACTGAATCTAAGAGCATTTATAAAGTGCCCAGTGCTCAATAAACACCCAGTAAACTTCCCTTAGTAACATGTTTAATACCTATACCCCCAAATATCTCACAAATAAGGTATTTCTACCGTGTTTCCCTGAAAATAAGACATCCTCCGAAAATAAGACCTACTTACAGGTTTCCTTCTGAGTGAAATATAAGGCATCCCCCTAAAAATAAGGCCACACTAGGCTCTGTCTCAGAATGCTATTGCTAAACATGAGAGATTTGGTCCACTGATTCTGAAAGAAATGAAGTCACAAGAAATTCACCAGGAAATTCAGGAATTGGATTGTTATGATGATGTTCCAGAAGATATGGCATGATTGTCATTGAATAAATGAGTAAATTCTTGATACTGTAGGATTCACAGTTTGTCTGGTTTGTGTTGACCACTACCGTACTACCGTACCGTATATAGGTAATAAATTTCCTTTATTTTCATTTAACAGTGTGTACCGTATTCTTCTTCATGGAAAAATAAGACATCCCCTGAAAATAAGACCTACCACATCTTTGGGAGCAAAAATTAATACAAAACACTGTCTTATTTTTGGGGAAATGGTATAATCTGTATAATATTTTTTTTATTGTAGTAAAGAGCACATAATATGAGATACACTGTCTTATGTAATGTTTAATTGTATGATACAGTGCTGTTGACCATAGCAGAATGTTATACAGCAGATCTCAAAACTTTCCATTGGTTTTTCTTACTCTTATACACTATGGCTATAGGTCACTTTTGTGAGATAAGCTGGTATTTCCTCCCTCCTGGTCCATAACTTAAGGAAGATACGTGTTTTTCATTAATTTGTGAATGAGCTTGATCCAACATGGAAGGAATGAGCAACAGTGCGCGCATGTGTGTTTTTTCCCTGTAGACTTTTCCCCACCGACTTGTTTGAGATCTTCATTGACATAGGACATTATGTGCGTGATATCAGTGCTTATGAAGAATTGGTCTCAAAGTTGAATTTATTAGTGGTAAGTCATGAGTTTTAAATTTTGTGGTCAGGATGGAATTTATCAGAGCAACCCATTTTCTTTTTTTGTTTATTTTTTTTGGTTAGGAGGATGAACTGATGCAAATTGCTGAAAATATTGAAAGTATTAATCAGAATAAAGCTCCTTCGAAATATATAGGCAACTACGCCATTTTGGATCATCTTGGAAGTGGAGCTTTTGGCTGTGTTTACAAGGTGACTTTCCCCTTTCTTATGTCCCCAAGCACACACCATTAAGTCCCACTTGCACATCCACACTCAGCTGAGTTGGAGCCCCCTCATTGAAAAGTAATGAAAAATAGTTATAAATGTTAGAATTACTGTTTTTATCCATCATATAGTTGCATCAATGTTGTCTTATCTTAACTTGAAGAGAAAAGCCATCATTAATCTCTCATAAAAAATTGTCACAATGGCTTGTCCCCAATGCATGACACATTCTCTCCATTCTGTATTAATGCAGTAAAATCCTACGCAATATTGCAGAATGACCCAGGAGACACCAGTTTTTGAGCTGAGCTTAGTGTAAATACAGAAAGAATTTGAAAGGTTCCAAGACTTATTTAAATGACTTGCTTTAATCATGTGACCTTATTAATGTATTTATTTCCTCCCCTTTCTACCTCTACCTCTTTTTTTTTTTTTTTCTTTTTTTTTTTCTTTGTCTTGTTAGGTTAGGAAGCGTAGTGGTCAAAATCTCTTAGCAATGAAAGAAGTCAATTTACATAACCCAGCCTTTGGAAAGGATAAAAAAGATCGAGACAGCAGTGTGAAGAATATTGTTTCTGAATTAACCATAATTAAAGAGCAGGTAAATATTTTTTTCTTCTTTATGAATAAATAAATGCCATCAAAAGAAGGTAAACTTTTTTTGCTATTCTTCTCCAGGCTGTTTAAGATCTGCTGTTTAAAATAATTCATATTAAGGGGCGATATTTCAGCCAACTTTTTTCCCCTAAGGCTTGATGTTGAACCATAGAATCACATTCTGGTGGGGGTGGGGGGAGGAGAACGTTAGAGTTTACTGCACAGAGTGATTCTTATATCCTTCTCTTTTCATATCCATTTCTCTCTCCTTATATTGTACAATATTTAGTTACTTAGTTACATGCATCAGAGTATGACTAAGTTCCCTTCCCTGACTTTTGTCAAGAGGAACCCAAGCTGTTAACATTCCTCAAATATGGCTTATTAAGTCTTAAAATGTGGCTTTTCCAGATGGGCTGTTATTTATTAGCATGAGCAGGATATTCTGACAGAATGTGAATGTCAATTAACTATCATTGTGAAGGCTTGTTTGGGGAGAAAGAATAAACATGCCAGCAGAGCACTGGGATTTCTTTTTGTGACCCAAGAGCGCGTGGGTTTCTTTTTCAGCTTCCCTTCCTTGTACATTCATTCCGGACGCTGTTCTTTTATAACATCCGTGGAGAGCCAGCCCCTGCCTGCGCCTCGTTCTCCACTAGTTACATTTGCACAGCATCTGTGCCGGGACATAGCGATCACCATGAATAAAATGATCTTTATGCATTGACATTTTCAGCTTTACTCCAATTTGTAAATTATAGTAAACATTATCATAAGTAGCTTACTTATAACCGACCTTTATATAGTAATACATTGCTCACGCTAAGGATAGCCCAGCCCCATGGTCAGCAAATTGCGGCTCGTGAGCCACATGCGGCTCTTTGGCCCCTTGAGTGTGGCTCTTCCACAAAATGCCACGGCCTGGGCCAGTCTGTTTTGAAGAAGTGGCATTAGAAGAAGTTTAAGTTTAAAAAATTTGGCTCTCAAAAGAAATTTCAGTCGCTATACTGTTGATATTTGGCTCTGTTGACTAATGAGTTTGCCGACCGCTGGCCTAGCCTTCAGCAGTGCGCTGTCTCATTATAACACAGGCTGCAATGTGGCTTCTGCCCTAAGCTGATCCAGTATTTTCATTGGAACCAAAGTCTGGGCGGAGTCCTGGCCAGTGAGCTGGGTCTCAAATATGGTTCTGGTTGCTTACCTGGATTCAGATTGTTTAAAACTTGCTGGGAGCTTTGCTAGTTGGTGAGGTAGACTATTTGTTTTAGTCCATTTCCTAAGAAAAGAAAGTATCATGGTCAAGAAAGAAGTTTTTGTCAATTGTTGTAATTTCAGCAGAGTTAATAACTCTCATTTCCGTTTCCTACTAATCATTTTGGAGAGCATAAAAGGCACAGATGGTGTAAATAGACACAAACAGTGAATGTATAATACATACCTAAGTGGTAAAGAGAGGTAAAGAGCAAGGAGGTCTGTACCCAACATGAATTGCTTCATTTTTGTTTTCTCTCTCTGCATTCTGTATGTGATGTTGGGCCTGGGACTCGGAGGAACTCAGAGCCAGAATTCTTAAGGTTCTTTTTAGTTCCACAATTCTCTGTTTTAGTTTAATTAAAGTGATAAGCACAACCAGTGTTTACTTCTATTTGATAAGACTATAGGAGATTGCTAATTTCAGATTAGTTTGATAAGTAGCAAATAAAAAGAATCATGAACAAATCTGAATGAAATGATAACTTTTCCCCCTTTTTATTGAATTTATTGGGGTGACACTGGTTAAAAAAATGATACAAATTTCAGGTGCACAGTTCTACAACACATCATCTCTACACCGTATTGTGGGTTCCCCACCCCAAGTCAAGTCTCCTTCCATCACCATTTATCCCCTATACCCTCCTCCACATCTCCCACCCCATTAGGTAACTTAAAATGCTTAGTTTTAGAAACAAAAATAAACGCAACACTTTCTTTGATGTTTTCAAATATGAAGTATGTAAAAGTTTTATTTTGAAGTAGTGTAATGTTATTTATTTTCTTACAGCTTTATCATCCCAATGTTGTACGCTATTACAAAACATTTCTGGAAAGTAAGTACGAATTTTCATGATATTTCCCAATTAAGGGGAAGTATCTTTGTTACATATTTGCATATTAGAATGTAAGAAAAATAAGTTCAATCACCTACTTACTTTACTTTGACAGTCAACAATCTTGTGCATCACTTTCTTGATGAGCAGAACAGTGATGTAATCAGGGACCTAAACAGTTATATATAAAATACCTAGACTCTCATCTGGGAGACACTGAATGAATAAGCCAACATAGCTATTACAGCTATTTTCATACACATAAAAATCACTTCGGATCTATAGAGAAGAAACTTAAGGATAGTGGCTTTCTTAATAAAAAAAAAAAATTGAAAGTTGTTCTTATTGAATTAGATAACATTTCCACCTCCAAAATAAATTGGAAGTGGGCTGGCTTTGATTCTTTTCTTTTTTTCTTTATTGATTAAGATAGTACATACGTGTCCTTATCCCCGCATAGCCTTCCTATCCCTCCGCACTCTTGCCCTCACCCGCCTGGTGTCTGTGTCCATGCTTAGGCTTATATGCATGCATACTCTCTCTTTGGTTGATCTCTTTCCCTTACCCCCACCCTCCCCTACCTTCCCTCTGAGGTTTGATGGTCTGATTTCTTTTACTTGAAGTTCAACTAACTGCCACAAGGTGGCGATGGAGCCCTGACTGATGCTGCAGGCAGGCAGGCTCTTTTCGCAGGGCTGATGTTGAGATCCAGACAAAACAGTCAATTGTTCAAAACAGCATAGAACCTCTGGCTGCAGTAATATAAGTATCGATAAACCTTCATACACCACGAGTGAGCTTTCAGAGTAAACCTCCATTTGAAGAAAGATTTAAGAAATATAAGGCAACGATTGGGGCTTCCTTACTGCCTCTGCAGAGTTGCTATTAAGCAGACCTTTGTTGTGTACTGTGACGACATATTATGGTTTTACCCATTTCCCTCCCCTTAGGAACTCAGTGCTGGAATTCTCCAGTAAATCCTGCGCCCCTGACTATTAGTTCTTGATATTAGAATAATTTCCTATGATTTAGTGCATATCCAATCACACAGAGCTCTAGATTGGCTCTGAACTTGTATTGAAGTGGCTCAACGTGTTCTACTTAAGAATACAATAACACAAAGTGTTTTTTGCAAATTAACTTCCTCCAAGAAGAGTTGGAAGTGGTTAAAAAATACACAAATACATAAAATGTGATAAAACAGAGCAGAAAATTGGAATAAAAGGAAATAAAATGTGAGAAAATGAAGAATAAAGCTAGAGGTAAGGTTAGTACATATAAAATATTTTTTTGAGATTAGAAAAAAATTGGAAACAATATGAGTGTCTATCCTTGGGAGAATAACTAAATTATGATCCAACTATATTGTGGAGTAATAATGTAACCAACAGGACGAATGGCATGTATCTATGTATACTGACACAAAACAAAACACTGCGAGCTGCAAAACATGTATAGTATGATTTTGCTTTTGTAAATACTGTGTACGTGCGTATTCTACTAGTATATAAACACCAAACATCACAGAAAATACACAGTGCATTCCACTGTGCGTAGTTTCATATCGGTTTTGAAGGAGGAAGTAGATTTTTCTCCTGTTTCCTGGCATCCACAGCAGACAGAGGAACACAGTTAGCTATGAATTGTTAAGTGTCCATCTGGTAAACCCAGGAGAAACACAGCTTCCTGTGCTCTTAAGGGGCACAGCAGAAATTTCTATCCTGGGTGGTATTTCAACGCTGTCCTTCATTCCAAGGCCATGGTATGATTCCATTGTAAAAGGCAGAAAGGTAACCCTATGAGACTACACACAATGCAGTTTTCTGAGTGGCTGGCTTGATTTGAGGGTAAATATTAGCCTATTGAGATGAAGTCGGTTTACATCTTCTTCAGGGAATCCTCCATGTCTCGGGCTCATTAGCTCCTTCTCTTTGGTGCCTCCCAGCCACTCCATGTCACGGCATACACAGCAAACGAGAGAAGTGGCCTGTGTAACCTAATGCTAGGAGGTTCCTGTAGTGGGAGAGACTGTTGCTGGGCTCCTGTTGTCCCAAGACCTGCCCCTTCCCACCCTCTCACCCCCTCCAGGGCTGAGTGAATTCATATCATAAGGCATCTCTAACTCTTCAGCGCTGCACACCTATTGGGAAACTCAGATTCTAATTCCTAAGTGTTTCCAACATATCTTTATTGAGCTTAAATTTCTATTGACTTTTTCTTGTTTTTATTTTTTATTTTTATTTTCCTTTCTATAGATGATAGGTTGTATATAGTTATGGAGCTTATAGAAGGAGCCCCTCTTGGAGAGCATTTCAGTTCTCTGAAGGAAAAACAACTTCATTTTACTGAAGAAAGACTATGGAAAATATTTATCCAGGTACATGTTTATTTTCATTCAATTTTCCTATGAAACGGTGAATACCTGAGCCACGTGTAGTACACGTCAGTGGTTATATGTATATTTGGGGAAATAAAATCTCGTCTTTGCTGTTTTAAGCTGTGCTTAGCTCTTCGGTATTTGCACAAGGAGAAGAGAATCGTCCACAGAGATGTGACGCCAAACAACATCATGCTGGGGGATAAGGACAAAGTGACAGTGAGTAAGTACAAACATTTTCTTTTCAGAATTCCTGAATTTTATTCTGGGGCAGGGTTGTTCCATGGAACTGAATGTGCTGATGGGAATGTTCTATATCAGCACCATCCTCTAGAGCAGCCACTAGTCACAGGTGACTGTTGGTCACTTGAAATGTGACGAATGTGACTGAGGATGTGAATCTGAAATTCGCTTAAACGTTAAGTTGAGCATCCCTATGTGACTAGTAGCTACTGTTGAGTTGAGCTATTGCCCGCATGAGAGCATAAAGTGCCCTTAGGATTCATGAGAATTTAACTCCCAAACCAATGGTCTCTAGGTATTTTCTTTCTGTAGAATGTTACTTCATCAACACAAGCTTTTAGGACCACCATGTGAGCATGTTATTTTAAACGGTTTTAACATGGTCTGTACCATACAGGTAAACCAATGTACTTATCAAGGGCTATGAAAAAAATCCAGCCATTTATAATCTCAACATCAGTTTTTACCAAAGTATTTTCAACTGTAGCAAGTAGGCCTCATGTTGGCTAATATTTTACAAATGAGAAAATTATTTCCCCCCAGCAGTTGGTTAATTCTTAATCATAACTTTTTAATGCTTTAATGATATGTCAGGTTTTTCCTGCTTTTCTTTACTCACGAATACTTGTGTTACTCTTATGCACTATTAATGGGGAGCCATCTCTAAATCAGAACTCTATATATTTTTTATCATGACATCTTATCAGTAAAACGTGTTTTGTTTTGTTTTTAATAATATGCTGCCGTTACATGTAGGCTTGTTTATAAATTCTGTACATATATCACTATGTAATTATTTTATAGTACCATTGATATAAGTATGGACATTCAAACTTATTTATTTTTAAGAGGAATTACAGTTAAGTTAAAATTATACAGCATTAGCCAAAACCGGTTTGGCTCAGTGGGTAGAGCGTCGGTCTGTGGACTGAAAGGTCCCAGGTTCGATTCTGGTCAAGGGCATGTACATTGGTTGTGGGCACATTCCCAGTAGGGGGTGTGCAGGAGGTGGCTGGTCGATGTTTCTCTCTCATCGACGTTCCTAGCTCTCTATCCCTATCCCTTCCTCTCTGTGGAAAATCAATAAAAATATTTTTTTTTAAATTATACAGTATTAATTTGAAAATAGATGTATAAAATTCCCACATTTGGGGAGATTTAAATATAAAGCTGCAATTCATAGAGCCTATAAAAATAGTTTTTGTGTGTGTATATGTGTGTGTAAGCATGTCACCACTAAGGGGCAGCCTTGTCATATTTTATTTTTCTCTTTTCTGTGATAGGTTTATTTGCTCCCAGAAAAGAAGCACAGAATTGCCAAATGATATTTAAGATGCATGAGACAAAATGTATTAAAACTTTGACCAGAAAAAAATAACTTTAGAAAAATGAAAAATTCCCTTTTTTTCCTCTTTTCACTCACTATAGGTGAATTAGATGTTTTAAGATGAAGGTTAGTTTGCAGTTATTTATAGTTATATACTGCCTGGATTTTGCCTTCATGAAGCAGCAGTGTACCAGCATATTTAGATGTGCATAATTTTATAAATGGTAGCTAATTTTAATATCTAAATATATTTCCACGTAGGAGACTGTATCTTTTAAAAAATTTATTTATTGATTAAGGTATCACATATTTGTCCTCATCCCCCTATTCTCATCCCAAACCCCTCCCCTCTCATGCCCTCACCCCCCCTGTTGTCCATTACCACTGGTTAGGCTTATATGCATGCACACAAGTCCTTTGGTTGATCTCTCCAAGACTATCTTTTTTTAAAATCCTCACCTGAGAATATATTTACTGATTTGAGAGAAAGAGAGAGTGAGAGAGAGAGAGAAACAGAGAGAAACAGAGAGAGACAGAGAGATAGACATCAATATGAGAGAGAAATTTCGATTGGTTGCCTCTAGTTTGTGCCCTGACTGGGGATCGAACCTGCAGCCTAGATATGTGCCCTGACTTGGAATTGAACCCACAACCTTTTGGTGGATGGGAGGATGCTACAATCAACTGAGCCACCCGGTCAGGGCAGAAGACAGTATCTTTTAAGTCATCTTTTTTTTAATTTAATATATTTTTATTGATTTTTTACAGAGAGGAAGGGAGAGAGATAGAGAGCTAAAAAGGTTGATGAGAGAGAAACACTGACCAGCTGCCTCTTGCACACCCCCTACCGGAATCAAATGTACATGCCCCTGACTGGAATCAAACCTGGGACCTTTCAGTCCTCAGACTGACGATCTACTACTGAGCCAAACCGGTTTCAGCTTAAGTCATCTTTTAATCTCTTGCTGCCATGAAACATGTCCGGGTCTTGTCACTGCACTTATTGCACCCCTGAAGGTGACACAGACCCTGACTCAGTGGCACATTGGGCTCAGTGTAGTCAGAGTTGGCCCCAAATGCTGACACCTGCCAAGTAAGATCCGCCTTGCCCTAAGCTGTTGAGTGGTTAAAAAAAAAAAAAAGAATCTGTAGGTGACTTGAAAAGTTCATCAAGTGCTAATATTAAATATAAATATTTGGTGTTCTAAGTTGAAAATCAGAATTATTTGGTGATGTATAAATATTTTGAGATGATTCTGAATATCATATTTACTGTGATTTAGTACAAATAGATGCCATTTAGTTTCATGTTTTTAGATTTTCACGGTGGTTATTTAGGTTTACCTTTTTTTTTTTTTTAAAGTATATTTTTATTGATTTCAGAGAGAAAGGAGGGGGGAGAGAGAGATAGAAAACATTAATGATGAGATAATCATTGATCGGCTATCTCCTGCACACCCACTATTGTGGATTGAAACCGCATCCCAGGCATGTGCCCTGATTGGGACTCCAATCGTGACTTCCTGGTTCATAGGTTGACTGACCCTTAATCACTGAGTCACAGCAGCCAGACAGGCTTACCTTATTTTTAATTTTTATTTATTTTTTGGCCAGGTGAGGTCATGACTGCCATATGCCAAAATATTAGATTAATTCTATTAAGTTGAAATTATAAAAGTTAATTTGAAATGTGAAATAGGAAGTTCAGTTACTACTTTGTCCTGTGTTTCAGTTAGCAAGACTTACTTTAGTATTTTTTAAAATGATAAACCTCATGTCAAAATACATAGCATAATGGAATAGTGTATGTATGACATTCATGAAGGCTGATGGTGGTGTGGAAGATTGATACATGGGGCATTCTGTAGAAGGTTGTGAACTGTAATAACTATTATACATAATCTCAAAGTCTAAGGAAAGATGCTAATTCTGAGGGGGGGAAATGCTAACATTGCTTTGTTTTGTGAATTGTAGCTGACTTTGGCCTAGCAAAGCAAAAACAAGAGAACAGTAAACTCACATCTGTTGTTGGAACAATCCTGTATTCCTGGTAAGTACAATTATTTCATGGCTCTCAGACATCAGACTTAACTAGTTTGGGCTTTCATTTTTCTTGGCTCACAAAGGAAAGACAACTTTAGGAAAAGAAGCTTATTTAGAAGGTTTTCTCCAATTACCCAAGTAATACACATGTATAGAATTATACATCACTCTGTGTGTTTAAAACAAGGACAACAAAGTACTGTTCCTCAGTCCCTTGTAGGGACTCTTTTATTACCTGAATATGGAAACGAGCCTTGGCACATAGTAGGTGTGCAATAACTGTTGATTGTGTGAATAAACTAGTACACTTGTTACCCAACATGACACTTAAAACATTTTATTACACCTATGGTATATATGAATCTTTTTTTTCTTTCTATCCACATTCAAGGGTATGGGAAGGATGTTTTTATGTCCTAATAAGTATCCCATCATCTGGCAAATGATAGGTACTTAATAAATTTATTATGTGAATGAATAAATGCTGACATACATACTTAGACATATATTTACAAGGTTGGTTGTTTCCTGGGTAAATGAGTGTTTATATTTTGATGAATTGAGATACTTGTAGCTTCTTAGCATGAGCTGAGGATTTATTTGCAAACCGTTAATTATTTTGAAGTGAGAATCTTCTTTCGCCTCTTACACATCATTTGTCTGAATCTGTTGAAATCAGTAAATGCATGTGGTAGTCAGGCCAGGCTGGGGGACTCTTTCCCCCAGCTGAGTGCATGAATTTTGTGCACCGAGCCACTAGTCTATAAATAAGTATCATTTAAAACTCTGCCCCTGTGTCTGGACAGGTTCCACTGGGTTGTCTCAGACCTATACTGCCTACCCCTGGCCCATGCCTGACATTTCAGGAAGCCTTTTCCTCCAGGTGCAGGTGGCAATGCCCCTCCAGCACCATCTCTAAAGAAAGCTTAGCATTGTGCTTACCTGGAAGGAGAAATGTTTAAAGGAATTCCATCATTTATTGAAGGGTGCATTGGGATCTAAGAAGCATTAAATTGATAATTGACACAGTAAGTAACTCTGGGGTTGACCCAGCACACCCCAGCACGGGATACCAGTTAAATACGGCTGCTCCACTGCATGGCCTGGTCAATGCCTTGGCTCCTCCCACACAGTAGGTGTTATATTTCTCCGGGCCTTCAGCGTTGGTACATCTCAGGAGTGTCTTTTTGAATTGTGAAGATGAAATCATCCTTCAGTTCAATTCTGAATGGACTCAGCATAATTAGGGGAGAGCAGGAGATGTTGTTTGGTTGGGTTTCAATTTATTTTGAGATATCAGGAGACCTGGAATTTTCCTCTTGGCATTGTAGCCACTGGGTATCTCTCAGCCTGACAGTCACTTAATGGAAGTGCTTTTTTTTTTTTTTTTTTTTTTTTTTTTTTTTTTTTTTTTTAAAGCCTTGCAGAATTAAACTGGGGAAGGTTGGGAAAGGGAAGGAAAGAAAGACGTGTGTGTTTATCATTTTACCTGTCCCTTACGTAGATATCCCAGCACTTACTTGTCGGGAGTAGATGACTTAAATCCTTTTCCATGAGATGCGGCAGGAGCCTTCATCAGGGGCATGGGAAGGCCCCCAGGGACAATGCAGGGAGCCACAGCAGAGCAGGGACCAGCCAGTGCTGCAGAGCCGGAGGGGAAGGCCCGTGGTGCTAGGGTGGGCACCCCACTTTTGTGTTACAGTCTTGCTATGTTCTGTGTACTACGTGAGCATTATGCAAAGGGCTCTATAGCTTCCTCCCTTTCAGGCGTTATGACAGAACTTGCTTGGAAGTGAGTCTGACTGATAACAGGTCACTGTGTAGGAAAACAGAGATAACAGCAGCAATGCCAGGAAACAGGGAGAGGAAAGAGTCGGGGAAGTCAGAGGATGTAAACAGTGGGGAAACGGAGGCCAGATCACCATGTCAGAGGCCATCCTCTCACTGTGTCCTCACATGTTGGAAGGCACAGAGAGCTTTCTGGGATTTCTTTTGAAAAGGCACTAATGTCACGCATGAGGGCTCTGCCTTTATGACCTGATCATCTTCCAAAGGCCCTCCTCCTAACTCCATCACCTTGGAGGTTAGGACAGCAACATGCCAATTTTGGGGGAACACACACAGTTAGTCCATAATAGTGGTCTTTATAATAGTTTCTGCCTTAATTTTTTCTTTTTAAAAAAAAATTTCTTCTGCTTTATTTTTATGTAATTTAGTGCACATATGTATAGGTCAAGAATCTTTATTTTCAATTGTACCTTTTATCAGTGAGAAGTGGCTAGTGTACTAAAAATACTTGTTTGTTTGCTTGTCTCAAACGTTTTCTTTGTTTTAGTATTGTGAATCTCGTTTTTGTTTGGGCCCTCAGTCACTTCTGTTATTTCTTATTGTGGTATTGAATCTGTAATGACTGTCTGGAATTCTTGGACCTTTCTTGGGAATGACCTGTTTTCTTTCCCAAACAGTGAATCCATTCACAAAGCTTGTTAGTTTATACCTTTTATACATTTGAAAAAGGAGAGGAAACTTTTCAAGAGCTCTAGTTATCAATTTAAAACCACCAAACTATTCAGTATTGGTATAATAACCTGTTAACTGAGCGGGACCTATAAATACGTCAAATGTAAACAATATCGGGAACGGGTAGGACATATGAATACATCCTGGAAATATATATTGTGCCCTGAGAGGGATGGTATATATTTTTTGTAATCTTTATAAATGTTTGTAAAATTTATAATTTTTTAATTCAATGTTTCCATTTTTTTTGTTGGTATTCTTTTCTATTTTTTTTGTAATTTTGTATTTTCCTTTGTGCTTTATATATAAATAAATGAAAAAAATATACATCATTTATTTTAATTAAGTATAAATAAATAAAAAATAATATGAAATTACGTCCTTCGGGCGTGACGTACTGACACATCCTAGTGAAAGAGTACTCGCCCATTACAGGTTGCGTAATTAAAAAGGGAACTCCCCGGTTAACAGGATAAATTAAGGCGACAATTTCTAAATGTGGTAAACAATCCTTATTTCACTTTCTCTGTTTCTCTTTTGCCCTTCCTCTCATTTAAACTGCGGACATTGGAGGAAAGGGCCGGAGTGTAAATTATTTGAGTAAGTCCAGCATTCTGGGCCTTATATTTTGAAAATATGTTGCCTTTCCTGTTTCATGGGAAAGATAACAAAGTACAAAGAGCGAAGAGCGTATCTCACAGGCTCATTCCGTTCAGCCACCAGGTTTTTTGTTAAGTTGATTTATTCTCTCTCTGGAGCTGGCATCCATGGGCTACACTGATAGCAGTTAGTTCCTGAGTGGAACACGATAAATTTGGATCTGAGTAAGGTGCTTTGTTTCTTTGTTTTGAAGATCTGTTATTGTACTTAAAAAGAGAAGAAGGGACTCTTCATAAACGATCAGATTATGAAGATGGATTTTAGCAGTGTTGAGAATCTGGACATTTTCAAGGACGAAGCTTTAAAAGGAAATAAAAGCTACCGGCCTCCCATTTCAGTGACTTGAGTAAGAGAAGAGAAGTAGAGGTAAATGTAGCTCCTTGCCAACAGGAGGAGGGAAATTAGCAATTTAGTACAGATACAATGGTAGCAAAAATGGACCCTCATTCTTTAACTTTTACCTAGAAATCTAAGAACCGTGCATTGAACAATTGCTTTGTTAGGGGGAAAAAAACAACAACACACAACTTAATTATTAGTCAGAGTAGTAGAGATAATAGCCAATATGGCAAACCAGAAAGTTAGCAAAACAAAGTGGCAAGGAAAACACATTTCTTTTCATGTTATAGATAGTAAGAGCAATTGTAATAAGATATAGCTTAAAACTCCTCCTCTTTTGCTCTTGAAAAGCTATTTTTTCTTTATTTCATCTATAATTTTTTAATGCCACACTCTGATTTTATGGAAATTATTATAAAGCCTTGGACTTGATGCCATATCATGCTATTTTTTTTTTTTTTAGCTCATTGTCAACCAGTCATTATCACATATACTCCGGCCATGAATTTCCCATGTTTTAATCCCTCCTTCCCATTTCCCCATATCCATTTCCCCAGCATCTCTACAGGGTTTCACTAATGGCAGAGATTGGCCTCAGGGAAGACTCCTGTGAAAGAAGCTTCTCTGTATTCCTGATAGCACGCTGGATCTGTGTTTTTTATTGACAGCTTTCTTTGTTGGGGTTTAGCAAATGGTTTACTTATCAGGGCTAGTGAGACAGAGTGAAATCATTCATGGGAAAGCTGTCAGAGGCCTTGGCCAAAAGTTTTTTATATATTCAGAACTATGGAACGTCTATTTTTTTATTTTTTATTTTATTTTTTAAAAATATATTTTATTGATTTTGTACAGAGAGGAAGGGAGAGAGATAGAGAGTTAGAAACGTTAATGAGAGAGTGTCATCAATCAGCTGCCTCTTGCACACCCCCTACTGGGGATATGCCCGCAACTTAGGTACATGCCTTTGACCAGAATCGAACCTGGGGCCCTTCAGTCCCCAAGCCATTGAGCCAGACCGGTCTCAGGTGGAACGTCTATTTAAAAGATGAAAGAAGAATGCATTTTTTTTTCTTTTTCAGCCACAAAAGAGTGCAGATATTGGATGTATTTGCCTAGCACTTTATGAGGAAATACAGTGGCGATTCAGTCTAAGAAATCTGTAAATAAAAATAATGAATCCTAAAGAGCGACTTTGAAAAATGTGCTAGCTCTCTCTTAGAATAAAAACCCTTTATTTTGTCTAAAAGTCTTAAACAGAAAATAGGGTCTAATAGTCTATCAAAGGAGTATATCATCAGAAATTGTTGATATAATCACCAATTGTTTTCGAGTAGAATGCAATTTTAAATATAATGTTGAATATAAGATAGGAATCAACGCCATATTTCTGTATATTTAGAAATATAGAAAAATAAATTTAATCTCTATTTTAAAACAGTGTATATATCTGTCGTTAAAATGTTTTAAACCTCATTGATGGACATAACA